GTTGGACTTTGTGATCAAAGGCTTATGGGCAGCAGCACGACCTTGAAAACCAAGCACATGTGCTTCTTCCTACGGATGGTATTCATTGAAACAATACTCCCGGATGCCGTTGAAACTCTCGCGGATGAGGGCTATCGTTGGTGCGGTTCTTCCGAATTTCTCTGAACAGCACTCGTCAATCATCTATCCCCCAGTTCGTTGGTCTGCTGACTCGGAGCACATTCCAACACATTGTCACCTTCCACTTCTTATCACATAGCCACTGTGATATGGATACTTCAGATCGCTAGATATGTCCCTTAAGGATCGGCTATATTTTTGATACCTGATAATTATACCTTTCTCGAAATCAGAGAGCTCTGAACTGCGAGGCATCTTGCATCCGACTAAAGCCAATGCTGTTTCCTACACGATATATACCGGCGGAGTCCGTGGTGTACCTTGGGACCGCAGATATCGTCATTTGCATAGGTGTCCAAATACTTATTGGTAGTCAGTGTATTAGTGATTCCCATAGTTTGAGCCAGGAAATAACTTTTGTTGGGTCATGAAAAGGTTTGAAGTACAGTAAAATACCAAAAATCCGCCGACCTGAAATCCGCATTGCCTCTCAAGATATAAACATTTAGTTCATAGGTTCCGGAAACCACAACATGGAGTATGAAATATCGAAGAAAAAATACTTACTGGATAATGACGTCATAATTATTGTATAATAACGAGTCATAACGGAAATACCAAATCATTGACATCATGATAGAAGTTTTCTTCCCTCCAATATGCATCGAGGTAAAAAAGCAGACGATTGATTCAACTCTTCTTTCAAGTTCACGCTTCACATTGCTGTACTTTCTGAGCTTTGTTATTTCACAAGATTGTTTAGTGATGTCGTTTTTTTATCCGGATATTTTGTGGATTAATTAAGAATATTTTAAATTTCAGCGCTTTTTAATACAATAACAGATAAGAAACGCACTCATGATTTTAATGCTTGCAACATTGAAACACGTAAACACGTTGCATTGACGGTAATGGAAAAATTTTAAATTCTGCTAAAGCTGGAGGCAGGTGCTACTGCTCGGTTTATAGCAGAATCGTATGGAACTGCCACACGGACTGTGTATGATATACGGAACAATAATGAAAAGCTGATGAAATTTTACAGCAATAGTGATTCTAACACCGGAAATCTTTACATGAGGCAAAATCGACAAACCTCGATGCTGTCTTGCACGAGTAGTTCCAGCAGCGGCGGAGTGATGAGGTACCTATTTCAGGACTACTCCTGAGAGAAAAGGAGATTCATGCTGATTTAAAAACAGAGGAGCCTAATGTAAATGAACAATATAATATAATCTGTTTATATATGTAATAATAATTTAATTAAATATATCTAATACGCCTTATTTATTTTGCACTTTTAGTCTGAATATTATCTTTTCTGTCCTGAAATCCACAAAATCCGCACGACCTCTGGTCCCAAGTGTTGCCGATTTCTGGACTTCTACTGTACACATTTTCTTTTTTGCCTAATCATATACAGTCAATGCTCAGTGTAATGATCACTCATTATCATGATCATGTGAAACCAGTATAAAATGTCCTCAACTAATGACAGCTTATTAAACTCATTTTTACTATTGCAACCAATGATTATAACATCTTTAATCTGAAGGAAATGAGAGATTAACAAGTGTTAAATGTACCTTTATCTGAAATTATGAATTAATCTGCAAATATTGTTACCAATTAATAAAATATTCTAAAAAAATTTTGTTCCATCTACATTAACATTCTTCTAACTAAAAAAATTCAGAAGGATTATTTAAGAGTATCCTGTTGACACACAGTACTTCTTTTCTTATGCATGAACATAAAAATTTCCTCATCAAAACTCAGTTCTACTATGTTGTCAATATTTTCAGTATCAGCAAGCTGAACTCTAATATCAGCATTACATCAAAAAGATCTAAGTTAGGATAAATATTTACATTGAGTTGTGGAATCTTATCAAAACCAGAACTGCTGTTTAACGGCATCAGAAATCTTTTCAGAGCTTGAGTTTATATTACTTTTACCATTACCATAGTTTGAACTATCACCAAAACTATCTGTGATTAGGAAGAGAACCAGATAATCATTATATACAAATTCACTTACATATTTATCTTTGGAAAGAATTAATACCAACTTATGCAGCATCATCATTACACTGAAAAGATGCTGTGATCAATAAATACTAGCTGACTCTTTAAAGATACATAGCCACTACCACATAAAACCAAACCTGTAGAAGCTTATTGAGAGATAGCTTTAAACTCTCATAATCCAGCAAAAGTTCATTAAATCGAGATGACACGTAGCCCTCCTACAACACGACATACTGTAACATGGTGCTGCTATAACAGGATTCATAAATTGTGAGAACCCTCCTCCCACACAGTTTCACTCTAACACAATAAGAAAATTGCCCAAGGAATCCAAACAAATTTAACAAACTTCGTACAAAGGTTTTTCATATTAAGCAAAGCATAGTCATTCAACACATAGGAATCCTCATTTCATAAGTCCTGCCAGTTATCTTCCAAGATCCGGTTCCCACAAGAACAAATGTCCTCAGTTAGATGAGCCATGTGGTGGAGAGCAACCGTTGAATTCTTAACTGGTAACGGAGGAAAATTGCTTTCTTCCATGACCTTCAAAGCAGAATAGAAACAATACCCAGTCTAAAGCGAGCATAATCATCAGATAACAACGAATATATCATTCTCTATCGCAGAAGGTAAACAACACAAGGTCACAATAAGAGCTCCAAAATGCACGACCTGCACATTTGGCTTCCAAAATTTAAATCCTCATCTCCATGGTCTGAAAACAAAAGTGTCTTACGCTACTGGTCAGCAGTCTGCGTCAAGCCAGGGTGGGTGTGTTAAAGAACAACCTTTTCATATTTAAGACATTAAGTTTCAGTTTCAAAACATGTCCGATAAACAACATTTAAGGGTAAATTTATTAATCTAGAAGTAAAGATACAGATCTTAGATCATCTTTAAAAAGGAGAAAAGGCATCTCACATCGGGAAAAAGTCTTAATTTGAAAGAAGCAACAGTCCAGACTATTAACAAAAATAAAGAAATAAGAAGTACGGTTGCTGCAGGATATTTGACATCTGGAAAACATGCAGCCCCCCCCGGCACAAGTAATTGAGATGATGGAAAAGGCATTTGGATTCATGATAGCAGTCAAAAAATAATTCTGTTGGACGGTAATATCATTAAACAAAATTTACAAGCACCTTAAAAAGAGCACGGAGAATAATCTGTCAACCCCAATTTTGTAGTAAATGTTTGTTTGAAAATTTCAAAAAGCATTTTGCAATTTATAGCATAAGAATTCAAGGAGAATCTGTATCGAATGATTATGAAGCTGCTAGGACGTATTGAGAAAAAAATTCAAAATATTATAGAACAACAAACATACACAGCAGATCAAGTTTTAAATGCCAACAATACTAGGCTTTGGCAGGAAAAAATGCCCAGTAGAACCTTTATACATATATATATATACACCAGGGGAACTTACGACAAAACCCTTGCTTACAGATTTCTAAATCCTCATGCACTTAAAAGCATAGTATACCTTACCGATATACCGGAAAGCAAACACAAGAGCTTAGGTAACTGGGAATTTATTTAAATATTGTTTTTTAAATTGTTTTGTGCCAGACGTATAACATTAAGGCAGAAAATTTTGAGCTTCAAGGTGGTATTACTGTTAGATAATGCTCCATGTTACCCACCAAATTTGAATAATCCCAACATCAAAATACTGTTCTTACTACCTAATACTACTTCGTTACTCCAACCGTTGGATCAAGGTATTATTTATACCTTTAAAACATATTACGTAAGAAAAGCATTACAGTAGATTTTAAATGTAACCGATTCAAAATCAGTTAATGTAATGCAAGGAATGTTCAATCACGCACTGTATTGACATCATAAACCTTGGCATCCGAAGCTGTAAATCAAATCGATTTTGAGGGAACTAACACCGATGAAGATTGTGCATTTAATAATTTAACATTAAAAGGCTTAAGTTTAATTGAAAATCTCGTATCATTTTTCTTGAATCCAGACCTTTCAGCTGGAAATTTAAAAGGAAGCTGCAAAATTGTTTAGCTTCATATCGAGAAATTTACAATGACATGGTAAGAACAAGTAAGCAGAGTAAAATGACAGATTTTTTAAAGAGGGAAGATGCCAGAACTTTAAATGAAAAAAAAAATTCTGAAAGTGAAAGCAATCTTTTTCTACCAAAAAACGTTCTTGCTTGATTATACTGAGCAATGACGATGGAAAAAATTTATTAAACTAAAGTCGCATAAATTTAAAATATGCAACATTTTTTGCTTTGTGTTGTACATACATACATATTTTAAATAAAAATTAAGTTGTTTATGTAGAATTAAAAAAATATTAGATTTTAACAAGTTTTTGGAATGTAACCCCCTTTTTGTACTGGCTCTGGATCTCGTACAACACGGTTTCACACAACATAGCATTTAGGAGAACCCATCTACCATGTTATACAAGGATTACTGCACATGAATGCGACAATGAACAACATAACAAACGGTATTTTCTATTATCAGCATGCAGAGTGTTAACCCCTTGAAGATTATGAGTTTTGCTCCGAAATTTCAAAGTTCCTGAAAATGTCATGAATAAATGGTATTTTCTTGAATACAATTAAAAAAACGCTCCCTCACTTTATACCTTGATTACTTTTCTTTCAAGATACATTCAACTTGAAATTGGAAACATTCAAGGCTAGCAGAATTTTTAATGTGTAAGGAATATGAAAGCCACCCTTCTATATAGAATTTTACGTCCATTATGCTGAGAGGGTTAACAGACTAATGATATAATAAACTTTAATCTATTTTGAGAACAAAATACTGAATTAGACAATTTTTTTAATAAATGTTTCATACTAACCATTAAAGACATCAGTTCTTGCTGCAATCTACAAAATAAGAAAATAATCAGAATTTTGCATTTATATAATATTAAATGTACAATAAAAAAAATCAAGGAAATGCTTACATAGATTCCTTGGAAAATACCTTAAATAAGATTGAAGATTTGTTAATATGGTAAAAATGTGATAATCAGGGAAGATTAGGAAATGAAGGCTGCATTAAATGAAAATTCTAGATAATTGAGCATATAAAAATACATTTTACATTTTGTACAGCCAAATGAAGAGAAATGTCTGTTCTGAAATTATAGAAAGAATTATCTTATTTGCTATTAACCGGAATATCAAAAGCCTACATTTAAATTATACGAGATTTCAAAAGAAAGAAGGATACTTCAGACATAAATGGCAATGTATTCATATGAAAATAAAACACTTTATTATGAAATCTATTCCCTTGAAAATTGGCAGAGATCTCACCAAACTTTCATCAGTCATTTCGGCAGAAGTTTGAAGGAACAGATCGCTCTTTATTCAGTTACATAACCAAGACATATATAAGTTACAGATATAGCACAAAGAAACTTAAATCACTTAATCACTTCTCATAACTTTTCACATAGCACAGCCACTTTCACATAAAGTGTCCACTTTTTCTTGATGCCAGGATTCCAATAAATTTGAAATGAATTTTGTACTTTTCTGTTGAATAAGTCCAAAATTTTAACAATATTTTTTTTAAAATGCGAGTGAAAAACACATAAATGGCAATTAACTTATATCACTTTTTAGGAAAATTTTAAATGACTTTTAGAGAATTCATTGGGTGACAATGAAAAGTGAAAAACAAATGAAAGACGAAAGCCTTATGAATGGGTCGTGACGTGATGCTTACCAACTAATGGCACTAAATTCCACTGTTTGGTCATACAGTAGAAGTCCATTAGTCCGGCATCCAACAGTCCGGAATGCCCGATAGTCCGGATCCTCGAAAAATTTAAAAATTTTGGTTTCTCAAAAGTGTCTTAAAGCAAATAAAAACCGCTGAGAGCTATCGAGTTTTCGGGGTAGTTCGAGATCTCCGGAAGCGTCGGTATGTTCGGAAAGAATAGCGGCGCTAGTCTCAATGTACAAAAATTCAGTGCAGTGGCAGATCCGTAATCAATCACAAGCATCTTCGCATTTTTTGTGCGTGTGTTTTGTGTCCTTTACATGCAGAAACGTAACTTTTGAAATGTTATAAAAAAGTGATTTTCGTTCTACTGTACAGGACCATGTTTCAAAACCTAAACCTTTAATCAAAAGGAGAGAAGCGAAAACACGTACACTGACTCTCAATCAGAAATAGAATCATCAACGGCTAGAAAAAGGCGAGAATAGAAATGTTTTAATGAACGAGTTTAATAGGCTATCAACTATTTATGACATTAAAAAAAAAAAGATGAACTGATGAAGTTGCTTCTCAATCGGTAACAACTGAAAAATTGGCTCTAGACAAACATTAAAAAAACCAAAACTGGAACAGCAGTAGTGTATTGTTCAAATGGTTAGTGCAGTACGTTCTGAAGGAAAGCCGGTAACGGGCCAATGATTGTTGGAAGGCAAAGAAATTCGGCCAAGATTTAGGAGTTGATGAAAGTGAATGTAATTATTCTGATGGTTGGCTCAGAACTAAGTTTCGGCATGGAATTCGACTTGATGTAACTGGGAAAAACCTCAGCAAACCAAAACTCTGCAGAAAAATACAATGACGAGTTGAGAAAATCGTGGTGATAATGATTTAACACCTGAACAGATTTACAATGCGATGAAACAGGGCTATTGTGGCAATGTTTACCAACATCTACACTAGCTGGGAAGGAGAAAAGCAGCCAAGGGTTTTAAAAAAAACAAACAGACAGATTAACCATTTTGCTATGTGCTAATGCGTCTGGAAACCACGAGTGACCCCTTTTGTGATAGGTAAATCTGCAATACCCAGGGCTTTTAAGAATGTTACACACTTGCCTGTCCCAATACGATGCTCAATTAAATGCGTGGATAACTGCCGCCCTCTTAAAGACTGGTTTTTTTCACCACTTTGTGCCTGAGGTCAAGGATCCTTCAAAAGCCTTGGTCTACCAGAAGATACTAAAGCCATCCTTCTTTGGAAAATGCAAAGCCCATCCGCCAGTAGATGAGTTAGTTTTGGAAATATTTTGATACTCTCCCAATAACGTAACATCTTTGATTCAAACCCATGGACCAAAGGGGTTTTCAAAATTTTAATGCTTATATAGAAGGTTTTTATTCAAGGCCGTTAAGCCGACTGTGACGTGACTGATTAAAAAAAAAGTTTCAGTAAAAAGATGCCGTATGCTATTGCATAGTCTTGGAACCAGGTAAAAATACAACACTCCAAAATGCTGGAGAAACTTTGGCCAGCTGCAAACCCGCATCTGACCTCTCTACAGACTGCGAGGAGAAACCATCAAGACGCTCTGACCAAAGTTTGGATGTCGTTAGAAGTAGACAATCTCTTGAAAAACCTGCCTGAAGATGAGGTAGAGGAGTGGCTTTTAATCGACGAGAATGAGCTGTTGAACAGAACTAACCGAGAGGACAATCAACATTGTAGTAAACCCCAGCCTACTCAACTCTTGAAGAAAATGACTCAGATAGCGAAAAGAAGAAAAGGGAAAAAAATCAGCGGGCAGAAGCTGCGAATCACTAAATAAGTTTATCCTTTGCCGAGGCTAGTACTACCTACAGTGGCTTCAGAAATATTGATTTCATATCATTAGAAAAATTTTATACTAAACGCCAAAGTCAAAAAAAAAGGACATTCGTGACTTTTTAAATCTAAGTGAAAATATGTTTACAGTACGTGTACATTACATTATATGAAATGTAAAATAAACTGTGTTGTATGTATTTGCATACTGTATTTTTAGTTTAATTATTAACCTAATTGTTCTTATAATTACCGCCCGATAGACCGGAATTTCGGTAGTCTGGCACCGAGCTGATCCCGAACGTGCCGGATTATCGGACTTCTACTGTACTACTATTCAGAATGTCTCACTTACATAATTTTTAATGGAAAAAAGCTTCTAAATTCAAAAACATTTCAGTTGGCAGAATGCTGGATAAACGGGCTTTTACAGTATATCAAACAAACTATACAGAAATTAGGAAAAAATTCAACAAAAACCTATAATGGTATCGAGAGAAAAATTTTAATTATATTATTGGAGCAAGTTTGAAAATTTATTCAACTGGATCAGACTAAAAGAAGAAATACTACTGTGAAAGCCTTTCTATGATAAACAAGCTTGTATTTACGTTACACACTGAAACCTCATGCAGCCTGCTGCTCAACTGCCAAGAATAAAATTAGAAAAACGTCACACACTTCATGCACAGCAGATCAGCTGTGGGTCAGCCATTGGAAATTTATTGTTATGGGAACATATGTTACCTAATAATAACAATATAGTAATTTTAGACAGTACATCATTCTATTTTGCTTATAATTAAAGCAATACATACGAAATATTTTAAATTTATGACAATTACAAATTAATTACAACATAATATATCAAAATATATAAAAACATCAGCACATATTTTAAAGTTGAAAACTGCTGAGAAAGGATTCATCTTCTATCTTCACACACAATAAACAACAGCATATGAATTCATAGCTTCTTGCTTTAAATCTTATGATTATGCTGCCAAAATAATTATTTTTCCATTGAAGCTATTTGATAAGTTTTTATGAACTTCTACCATTTAATACATTTATTTAGCTGAAACAAGCTAATTTTCAGAAAATACGAAAAATTATTTTCAGTTATTTTCTAAAATTAATGCTACGAATTCCATATATTTCCCATTTCGTTTCATACACGACAAATTTATCTCATCTACTCATTGTTAAGTTATTTTAAAGAAATTACTCTAATAAGTAGATAAATATTGAAATATATAACCTAACGGATAAAAATTAAGCTTCAGTTCAATTCTTTTTCCTAATCTGAAAAATACACAAAAATGGTCTCTTCTATAATATAGAGAATTCAGGGAACCAAGTTAAATGATAAATTTAATTCCAGTGATAAGAGGATCTGCATGCAGTATGAAGGCCAGACATATCATCTTATTGCATCATAGTTCAATATCTAAAAACAGCTAGCTACCAACAATCAGACAAACTTTGTATTTTATTTAGAATTTCAAGTCACGAAAATATTGTTTTGTATTTTATCTAGTGACCATCAGTGGTAGATTTATTAAGTGGCAGTTCATCTCACCTGAAGTATACAATGTTCTTTAAGATTCTTGCCTGCTTTTCTGTGAATCTGGAATGTGAATTGGGGAGGGACTTGAGAACACACGGCTCCTTGCAATTGTAACCTACACGAGCCATAAATCTACCACTGATGACTATGAAACTAATGCTGTAAAGGCAAGAAACGAAAAGCAAAAATTCAACAAATTCTGAAGAATGATGCTCATTATACAGTACAAAGTCCGTAATCCGGACTCATTGGGACTTCGGCAATTCCGGATTATAGATCATCAATTTAAATCTGTAAAGATAGCATGCAGAAATTATACAATTAAAAATATGAAACCATAATTTATGAAATAAAGAGCAATTATGATCTAAAGGTCATCAAATTTTACAAAAAAAAAAAGCTTAATATTTATTTGTTTACTTTATTAAAAATTTCTTTCAACGCACTCATGCGTAATGTATGCGCATGCGTAAAGTTAGTGGCTTTGAGGTCCGGATTATAGATCATTCTGGAAAATGGATGTCCGGATTACAGACTTTGTACTGTACTATAAAGTATAAACCTACAAAGATGTACTTACTATTATACTCATGGTCAAAACGTAAGAAATTTTTTTATACAAATATGAATGCTTCCTTACTAGTGGATAATACACACCTATACTTAAGATTTTCCAATGATAGTTTTTTCATATCTAGGAATAATTGTTCATTTTTAGGAAATTGATATATAAATGCTGAATGAGAGTAGTATGTACTGTTC